CCAGTGCAGAACGGCCTGCTTGAACCTCTCTAACGCGCTTTAAAATTCTTAACCGTCCGTTCCGTGCTGATGCGGAATATTCCAAATGGCTTCCATCTACTGAATCGTGACTTTAAGAAGACTAGTGTGGGTTCCCCATCTTTTTAGTACTGTTGGGTGGTTTAAGTCGTTTGTGAATAAAGTTTTTTACTTCGGGATCCAGTCTTTAAAAGTCTTCATCAATTTAGTTGTCTGATGGGGTTGAACAACGGCTCGTGCCACTGCCACTTCAGAGTCTTGCCGGGGACGAGTGCAACTGCTTTGAGCATATTTGAAAATGGGGTGCGTTCGAGATTTGTGGCGTCAGAACGCTTACAACTGGCCTTTTATCATCATGTTTTGTCTACATCTTTCGTTATAATTTGCAAACTTCTTCATCTTCAAAACTTAACAAGCATAACAAGTAACAAACGATAACAAGTGAGAATCAATCATATAGCTGTAGGTTGCCTCAACCAAATCGTTTCCGGCTGAGCTATTCATCTTCTACATCTTCGGGTTCTGTTTTTGCCTAAAAAAGAATGTGAATTTTTGGATACAAGAAGTGGCTTTGGATCGGTCTCACCTTCTTCTTCTTTTTCTTCTTCGGTGGCGTTTCGTGTGACCCTTCAACTTCTCCTTCGTTGTCATCGTTGACCTCCTCGCCCTGTTCCTCCACCTTCGGAATCTTCTTCGGCGGTCCCTTATCATCATCGTCAAATAGTTTCATTTTCCCGCTACTCCTAACTGTAGAGTCTGCACCTTCATCATAGTCGTAAACCTTACTAAAAACCATAACCTGAATGAAATCTTAAAAGCAACTTTTCAGAATTTTAGGTTTACTTCTACACCAGTACTTCCCTAGAAACAAAATTTATATTGGACACCGTAGGAGAGTAATAAAGAGACGGACCTCTTAAACTGGTACGGCTCATGTTTTGTCGACGTCCTTAGTGGCTTCTTATAACTTCTTTCTTGTTCAATCCTCATCTGTGTCTCCAAATACGCTCGACTTTGGATCCCCAGTGAAGCACCCTTTGATTCATCTGCCAAGGCGTCTATGCGCGTCGCAAGAGACACTTTCGCAGCTAATTTACGAGCCATCTTAAGATTACTAGATTACAAAAAGATTTTTACCAATGAAAACCAGGAACTGGAAGACGTGAAAGAAAAAATCACGACAGGCACTCATCAGACTAAGGAGAGCTAATTTAGTAAGGAGCTTCGCTGCTGACTCCTAATAAAATGAAGTCGACTGGAATATTTGAAGCAAAACACTACCTTTCCCTTCGCTTTCGTTGCAGCTTGTCCGACAAGTTGCGCGTGATAAATAATGCCATACTTGGGAGTGTCTCGTTTGGTTTTTAATGCCCTAAATAAAGCTTTTTCGGCTCCCAAAATCTGCACCGTAGAAGAGGGATATTTAGCCAAGTTCATCAGGGAACCAGCGTGGGATATCAAGCGCGCCCCGACCAGTTCCCCCAAAAGGACCGTTAAATTCGGCGCCAATGCGTGCATACGGTTTTTGAGATAGTCTCCAAGTTGGTTTCGGTAGTCGGACATTTCAATAATCTATAGAAACACGTTTAAAAATCAAAGTAAAATTCGAATAAACAATCCAAGTGTAAAAAAGCAAGGAATTAAAAAAGAAAAAATGCGAAAAACTGCATCAGTTCAGAGCTCTCTACCAAAAAAACACAACTTCATGCCTGGTCACAAAGGCAGCGAATCTGGAACAAATCAGATTCCGAAATGTCAGTTCCCATGCTGATTTCTGCTTCTTCTTTCACTTTCGCTTCTAACTCTTCAGGAAGAACACTGGAAAGGTCGGTTTCAGGCGTATTCTGTCTCATTCCAACCAATTTTATCACCTGATAAACAGACGGTTCTAACAGAACAAAACGAGCAACTGATGTAAGGAGACTCTGTCAATACAAAAAATGAAGCATAAGAGCTAGTAAAAGCGCAAGTCTTTCCACCTAGTACAATATCTGCTAAAAATCAGGCTACTCCACTAACTTTTGCATACGCCAAGGGATCCTGAATTATTCTCCCTAATTCTGGAAAATGCCAGCCATACCATTCCCGACACCTTAAAACACACCGATTAGGAAAACTCGTCATAGCTCTAATAGACGCATACCAAACCAAAGAATTAGGAAACACCAAAGAATGAAACCATTAAAACAGACCTTAAACCAATCTAGCTCAAAATAAAGATTAAGTGATTCATATCTGCTGTTGGGGGAGCGAGCAGCTAAAAAGAACAGTAAAAAGTTCTCTTACCTCATAACATAATTATTCAGTTCTTTATCCAAATCATCTAAGAGAGACACTGCTTGTACGATCATTGTATCGATTTTTTCTGGATTAAACTTGACCTGAATAAAGCCACTACAAAAACTTTGTTTTTACCAAAAAAAGAAGCAATTAAATCACAGTAATTCACTTTAGGCCCGAAAATGGAAATAATTTCTGAATTACAGTTCAGAAATCAAACTCTAAAAGTAAATAACAAAGAAAACATTTCTGAACAAAAAACAGCATGTATAATCACATGTGGAATTTATCTTATATAAAGTTCATTCAGCGGCAATTGAACAAGCCGTATTTCATAACTTAACCATTTCTACAAATGCGACACAAAACTTCAGTGTCTTTTAAATAACAAAGTAAAGTTTCCTATGTTTTTCTGAAAATACTTTGAAGCGCGAAGGAGAAAATGCCTAAAAAGGACCTTTCATAAAAAATGGAAACAAATCTTATCACTACGCAAAAATGGAATCTATGCGGCATTTATAAGTAACAATTAAATATAATTGGCTTGGAAGCTGCTATGGAAAGGCCCAAAATAATAATGCTCCTAAGAAACACGCCATTAAAGTCAAGTTTCAACCAATCCGAAAACTCTATCCGCGAATCAGCTTTGCAGATTTTAAACTACGCTAATCCTTCGAGAAATATAGCAAGGAAACTGATCTACAGCAACAACGAAGCGGCAAACTTAAAACAGAAGCCTGTGTCAAACAAAAATCTTTAACTTTCATGATAACGAAATTGATCCAAAACTAACAAATAGAGCACAGAAAAATAACTGTTAATAACCGTAATGTTTCATTCAGTTTAGAGTAAGCTGAAACGAAACAGATGGAACAGAGCAAATAAAAACACTACACAAACCTTAACTTTACATATCCTTTTTCAAAACAAAGCAATGCATTACCTTATAACGACCTAGAGAGTGCGCTAGAGCCAGATTCATAGTAAGTAGCTGGTCACCATGTTCTCCCAACAAACTAGCTATATGGGAACGGATACCCCGCATTATTTCGGCAGTTGCTGCATTTGATACACATTTTATAGAATACTTCTCCTAAAAAAGTTTTAAAGGACAGAGGGCACCACTATGCAAAGAAAAATAGAAGGAAAGTATAATAAATTTCAACAGGGCTTTACCTTGATAAGGTTCCCCAGCTTTGCATCACCAACAGCTAGATTTTCATGTTCACTAGCTTTATCTTTCAGAGCTTTCTTAAGTGTTTTACTTATTTTCCCATCCGCAAGTTTATTGGCACTCTCCAAGGCATCGGCAACACTTTTGAACTTATTAAAGGAGATGAGCTTCACTCTGTAACAAGTCTCATATACCACTGAGCGTTGTGAAGGCTCATCAAGACACTGTGCAATACGCTAGTTTAACTCTGAGAGAAATTGAAAGCAAAGTCCATAAGTTTCCGAATTCCCTCCCAACAAAAAAAGATCAACCTGAGAACAAGTGAATCTTTGTCTTGGCTTTGATCAGAAAAACGTTTCATTTTTTTTTTCTTCTGGGGGGGGGGGGGAAGGGGGTTACAAAGCCTCTTAACTATAAATTAAGGAAGAAAATTACGTCTCTTGAGCCTTCTCTGGAGATGAGAAAAGGGTGTAAATGTCATCAACATCCTTCAGTTTCTTCTCATCAAGCAACTAAAAAGAACCATTAAAAACTCCAAACTTAATTCACTTCAATAAACCAAAATGAATCTTATAACCACAAAAGTTAAGTAACCTGGGTAAGAGTATTAAACGTTAACTTTCATTAAAAATTTAAAAAAAAACACTAATAGAAAGTGGTGTAAAAAGTAAATTGACTTACAGTATTTGGTTAAACAAGGAGAACTAGTCAGCGAAAGAATTGTGTACAATTCCGATAATAACAACATAAGTTGTGAAAAATTCCTTTTAAAAAATTCTATGAACAATAAAGAAAACATACCTTAAATACAGCGTAGCCAGCTGACGTTTCAAAAAGGACCAACATAATCTGCTTCAAACGTTACCTAAATTTCATAATGCCTGAAGATATAACGCAAAAATACACAAACTATTATCAGTTTGTTGTAGCCAGTATCTGTATCTCTTACTCTTTTTGTAGGATCCAAAGGGAATATATTCCAAGTTTTTAAGCTGCAAAATGCATCGATAGTGCTGAAGAGACATTTCATTTTTCACAATGCCAAAAAATTAAAAAAAATGAAATGTTTAAGGAATTCATTCAATTAGGTT